TTATTTCCAGAGTAGGACCGTGATCGTGATACATTCTCAGACGTTTCGCCGACATCGTCAGTGAGCCTTGAAATTGTCAAAAAGACAAGAGACTTGACATTGGAATAAAGTTCGTTTTGTTTGAAGAGGTGAGTGGAAGGGATTCGTAAGTTGGTTCCCCAGGAAATTGTGGGGTATTTGCCTTGGAGCTGTGGTTGTAGATTTGTACGAATAGATCCTCGGCGCACCACCCTTCGACCCCGATGAATCCTTGCTGAGCTTTCGGACGTCATGTGACTGGCATCGTCAGAGCAGGGCATCATGGTTAACGATAATTCACCAAAAACACGAAGGCAAGAAAGTTGGCAGGCTCTAAACCTACTTCCTTCTTATATTCCAATTTGGTCCACTTATGTATCTCATGTTTTAGTTGAATCTCCTATGCTTTTGCTTTACCTCTGCAGTTGTTCATAAGTTAAGTTAAGTGGTTGCGGATGACATGTGAAGTGGCTAGAAATGAAATGTGAAATGGGTGCAATTAAAGCTGAACAGCCGCATCCTACCCTAATGCACTGTACGTGTGCAATGGGACGCAATCACATGCGGTAACATTGCAGGATCAAGGAATACATGTTTTATGGGAGTATGTAGCTGTTCAGTTTCAATTGCACCCATTTCACGCTTCATCTGTATCCACTTCACATGTCATTCTCAGTCACTTAACTTAGCTTATGAGGAAATATAGAGGCAAAGCATATAACATCCAAATAAAACATGAAATTATTTGACCTTGTTTTCACAGCTTAGTCATATTGGTACGAAAACTTAGAGGAACGCACTTAGTCCGGAGTTCAGTGTATGCATGATGATTTCCAAAGTCGGACCGTGGACGTGGACTTTGGAAATGATCACGCATACAATGGACTCCGGACTAGGTGAGTTCCTCTAAGTTTTCGTACCAATATGACAAAGTTGCGAAAATAAGGTCAAACAATCTCTATAAAACGAAAGGAGACTGCAACCATACAAAAGGCCACACAATCTTGGCCTTCATACCTTCGATTAAAACATGAAATGCCCTAGTGGACCAAATGCGAATATAAGAAGGAAGTAGGTTTGAAGCCGGCCACTTTCCTTGCCTTCATGTTTTTGGTGAATTGTCGTTAACCATGGTGTCCTGCTCTGACGATGTCCGTCATATGACGGACGAAAGCTCAGCAATGATTAATCAGGGTCGCAGGGCGGTGTGCCGATGACCTATTTGCACAAATCTACAACCACAGCTCCAACGCAACTCCTAACAGCCTTCGGTGGAACCAACTTATGAATCTCTTCCACTCGCCTTTTTAAACGAAAGGAAAAGTACTTCAACATCAATCTAATAAGTGATTCTTCGAAACCCATTTTTCTACAAGAGACTTGACAGTTGTAGTGTGATGCTAAGAATGGCAATGTTCGCTGACGATGCTGACTACGATGCCGGCGAAACGTCTGGAAATGTACCACGTCCACGATCCAGCCCTGGTAATAATCATGCGTACTATTAACTCAGGTCAAGATGCGCTCCTCTAGCCTTCCTGCCAATATGAGCAAGTTGCGAGAACAAGATCACACAACTTCTATACAAAGAAAGGAGTCCGCGGCCATACAAAAGGCTTCACCATCCTGGTCTTAACATCTTCAAAGATATTTTTATTTGAAAGCCAACCAAAAAATAGGAAATTGGTCTTAACAGGGTCATTTTATCTTCATAAAGAAAAACTTGATTCATAGTTTGGTGGGACCTATATGGTATATTTAGTCGAAAAGGGATAAAATTCATTTTCGTTACATACTAAATGCGGAAGCAGGATATTCTGATGGGCTAAATGGCCGTAATTCTCCGGCTTAAGAATAAGATTGGTGATATAATTCAAGACTTCTGGCAATTTGACTATAGGCACAATTGATAAAGATATGATGATCATACAGGGAGCAGAGTTATACTCTTAAGATTAGTGAAAAATAGGGCAGCTTACTGTTCAACCAGAAGGCCTGTTTATCTTTACAATGGAAATCCTAAAATAATAATAGTATCGGCATATTTGATTGTCCTCAACTCCGGTAGAGTTACTAAGCATAACAATTCATTTTACTGCATAAAAAATAAAATTTTCATTCATAGGGAATTGGACAAAACTTAAATTTTACGCCAAAATAAATTGTACAAAACTTTAAATAAATTACGCCAACAGATCAAGTGATGATAGCAACAATAGAGAAGGTAATGATGAAACGTTGATTTAAATGTTGTGTAGCCTCTCATAATAGGGTTAGATTATGGAGAAAACCATTGAAATCTCTTAGTATTAGTGCAGAAATTTCGACTGAGAATCTAAAGAAATTAAATGAAGGACCCAAAAAGCGCTAAGGAATATGGAAATCTCAACATTCTAAGACTTCCCATGAGCACACATAACGGGAACTAAACCCGGACAGTAAAGTATATATTTTCGACATGTTATTACTGCGCTACACTGCGACCAGAGGTCTACTTGGCGGATTTTAATTTCAATGGCAAACCAGACATCTCCTATATCATATTTTATGGTTGAATTATTGGTGAGACAATATGGCAATATGTAGAAATTATAAGCTGAACTAACCGGGTTTGATTTCCTTTAGGGGTGCTGATGAAGACGAAGATGCAGCTTTAGTGGATAAGAATACATCTTAGGAGGCTGTGTTTAGTGAAATTAAGCGGCATCGTGAGACCTATTCATACCATATACTACCCAAGATGACTAGTCTGTAATCTAAATCCTACCTTCATTGCCCAAGCAAATTAAATTATTATAGATGTTTTTCTGTCTATTACTAGCTGTAGCTTGATGCTAAGAACAGCAGGGTTCATTGGCAATGCCAAATAGGTTGCAAGAGGAACATCTAGAAATGTACAAAGCTCACGGTCAGTAGATGGAAGTCATCAGGGATACTATGACAGAAAACTCGGGATGAGGTTAATTCATGAAAGTCTCCCTATAAACACGAGCAAGTTGTTTAAAGGATTTTTTAAATTGAAGGTCAGTCAATCCTCCCTAGATGCCTCAATGTAGATACTTACGTGTGTCTTTGCATTCATCATCTTCTTCTTCAATCAGGGTTGGTTCTTTATCGCGCATCCTCTCTCCGCTGTTCTTAGACTTCTCTTTGTCGTCCTTTCGCTCAGGAGGCTCCCCATTCTGTTTGCCAACGACGTTCTGCTCACGTCTTGTTACAAACCGTTTGCGGGGCCCCGCTTCGGTGTCAGATAGCACAGTTGATGGCGAGGGTGAAGAATTGAGGTAATTTTGATCGGCTTGCTGAGTAGAAGCTGTTTTCTTAACATCCTCGTATTCGCCTCGACGATAAATTCTATGATCGCTAGTCCCAATGCGACAGTTTACTGCCGCAGGCCTCTCCGAGGAAGGTTGACGCTTGGCCCTTAAGTCAACTGGTCGTCGGCCAGCAGGTTGGCGACCAGTTTCTATAGAAGCCATTACTCGTCGGCGATACGTCTACAAAATCAGCATAATTATAGTCTTTAAGTTAGATTAAATACTCAAGAATTTTTATGAATGGGATTATGGCTAAATAAGTGCAATCACGAAATGCCTTATCAAATAGTAAATTTAAATCGTGCATCTAGACTACTTCATCTTCTATTAGAGAGAAGATATTAACAGACATGCAGATTACCTTAAGCCAAGATTAGAATCAACTTGACTATGGATTTTTGCCAAGGCATTTATGATAGCTGCTCCGTACATCTTCTCTTTGAGATATATAAAACAGTTTCTGAATATATATTCATATCTAGGGGATAAAATTTCTTCTATTCCGCTGAATACGCATGAGAAAATAGCATCTTGTTAAGTAGCTTTGCTGCAAGATAGTTTCAAAGGAAAGTCTTTATTTTTTGCAAATTTGGTTCATTATACTAATAGGTCAATTAAAGTGAAATAGATTTCTCCTATAATATCATGCTTCGCTTTTTGAGAATAAATGGTCAAGTTTATCTTATATGAAAATTGATCAGAGCTCAATTTTGAGGGAAATTCAATAGAAAAGTAAAAATGCCTATTCGACTCGAGTGTCAAAATATTATTGTAATGAAATTTATAGATGGCATAAGAGAGAAATTAAAGGGTATTTGCTAAGATTGCATCAATGGTCAGTTGGTGCTTTGGATAATTGGAGTTAGTGTGTCTGAGTAACTGAAGTGGAGGCTTGAATTTGGCATAGAAATGACAACATTGAATAAAAAACAAATCGAGCAACAGATGTCTCAATATTAAACGAGTTAGTTTCTCATATAGTCTCGAAGCCGCATTCAGTGCAATATTCGGCAATGCTCAGCGAAAGAAGGGAGAGAGCTCTGACTGCCAGCACCAACTAATCCGAAAAGAAAAGAGAAATGTGCTCAAGAGCACGAAAAAAATGTTGTTGTTCGTATTGTATAATTTATAAAAAACTAATAAATATTATGTATGGAAAAATAAAGAAAATGTCAGAAAAATTCATTAGGAGCATCTTTAAGAAAA